AAGCCCATGCCTTCCATCTTTCTCTCTTGGAAGTTATCTTTATGCAGCATGATTTAAAACAACACCAGCTCAGCAAGTGTTTCTGGCAGTAGCTTCTCTTCTCAACAGGAACAGCAAGGTTGTTAAAAACAAAAAGAGAGATTCACTGGTGGATTTGTATGCTGGGTCCTTCCTCTATGCAGTCTATTCGCCCAAAGTTGAACACTTATCTATAGTTCATTGGTGGCATTTTCTGAAACTCTAATAATGTGCTTATTTCTGTAAAGAGTTGTAAATACAATAAAGAGTTTGAAGTTTAGAAGAGTGTAAGAGTTTTGTAGGACACTGAGAGTAGTAACAGTTGCATGTGTGCACCAATCATTGAGCGGTTAATTAAAACGTCTGGCAGCCCAATAGCTCCTTACCTGGTGACAGCAGGGCCGCAGGCTACACCAGATTAGCTCCCAGTGACATCTTTTTAGTCCCCAGCAGGGACATAGGGTGGGCCACCATCACCCAGTGTCAGTGCTTCTCCTCTCCTACTCTCCTCCTATCTCTCTGCTTGATACCTGCTACCCTCAAAGCAATTTGGAGAAGGCTCCTCACTGCTACTGCTCATTCAAAAGTCCACAGTGAGCATTTACCAAGGGCCAGCCTTTCCTTGAGTTGGAAGAGCAATGCTGTTTCCTTGCACAGGCAGCAAGGCTATCCTCCTCATCTCTGGTTTTAGGTCTCTATCTGCTTATTTGGGACCTCTGCTTAAGTGGGACCTCCCCACTTAGTTATCCTCATCTTCCTCCTTCTGCCCATGTTGGGTTTCCCAGCTCAGTCCAACTGGTCATACAGAGAACTCTTTTATCTTCTTCCTCTATCCAACCTTCACCATCTTGCAGTCCTCTTCTCCATACCATTATAGGAAGTAAAATGCCCTTTGTCTGTCAGTGACAGCCAACAGAAACTGTGTTATGAGTATTTGTAGGTGTGTGTGTGTGTGTGTGTGTGTGTGTGTGTGTGTGTGTGTGTGTACCCAGGCAATTATCTAAAAACAAGCAGTTGCAGGAAGGATTTCATGGAGTAAAGAAGTTCTCATGCATCTTACAAAACAACCAAGGATTGAACTTGAATCCAGGTGGAAGAGTAAAGAAAGGATACTCACAGAAGAGTGGCCAATAAAATATAACAAAAGAAGTACACATGAATGGAGCTTGTTTAGTGCAGTAGTGACAATAGAGAGACTTGGGCAGAAGACCAGATATGAGAAAGTCAGGTTACAGAAGGCAAATGAGCTGTGTGAAGCTGAGCTTTTTGTAGAAGAGGTGGGTGAGAGTGGATTTGCTGTATTTGATCTCTAGTAGGCTCTGGGAGATTTCTAAGCAGGTTGTGGTGGGACTACAACTTTCAGAGGAGTGTGCAAGATGGAATGAAAAAGGAAGAGTGTGGAAATGCATAGCCAAGGAGAAAAGTTTTAAAGAGACCCATGTTAGAAGTGCATGTGCCTGGGTCTGAGACTGGGGGTACTGGACAGAATTGTGAGATGTTCTACAGTGAATTCATTGGTGCTCTCTTCCTGAAGCATACTTTATTAAGTTCCCTTTGATTATCAGTTATATCCTTTAAGATATTTGTATTTCAAGATTAGCTCAAACCAGTCTGGCACCTTTGCAACACTGCCCTATACTTTGTCCTATGACTTCCCCACTTCATTGTTATAATCCATTGCTATAATCCATTAAGATGTTTCTCCAAGATCCACCTCCAGAATCTCAGTTTCATTCTGTCTTTTCTTTGTTGCCACCTCTTCGCAGTAGATCTTGGCTTGCCTTTGAATCTGCCAATCCTGCTTTGCTTGTTTTCTGGTCAATCTTATTTTAGATAAAGAGGGTGAGAGCTTTGCCTTACACCAGAGCATCCCTACGCCCAGTGCTGCCTCTCCACTATTCCATTATCTACACCTCTAACCTAAAAAAGAGGTTTAACTCTACTAAAATTCTAAGATTCAGGCATGATTAAACAAATGTAAACCATTCCCAACAATAGAGTATAATATCTGATTCTTTAAAAGTAATCTTTTCTTTTTTTAAATATTTTAAAGATTTAAAAAAAAAATTTATTTTAAAGGTAGAGTGACACAGAGAGAGACACTGTTCCATAGACTGGTTCACTTCTACTATGCTTACAACAATCTTGGCTGAGGTAGACCAAAGCCAAAAGGAACCCTCTCTGGTCTCTCATGCAGATGATAGGGGACCTAGGCCTTAAACCACCCTTTGCTGCCTTCCCAGGCACACTAGCAGGAAACTGAATGGCAGGCAGAGGGAGCAGTACTTGGACAAACACTCTGTTATGGACTGCAGGTATCTCAAGTAGTGGCTTAACCCATTGCACCACAATGCCTGGCCTACAATTTCTTCTTGTAACAGAACTAGGATGAACAGCCTTCAAGAGGGAACTTGTGTGTCCTAGGTGGGAAAGTATACTCTTACACAAGTGTAGAATCTAAGGAATTTCATGGACTAAGTGTCAATCTTCTGAAAGGTCACAGCCTCACACTCTTCGCTTGGGGCCGCAGTTCTTCATGTCTAAGTAATATCATGAAATTTGAGATGAGGAGTCAGGGATCATCCCAACCCAAAATGTACAGTAGAGATAATAGCCAAAAGACAGAAGGCTCTGAGAAGCACAGTTTTTCTTCATGCATTACACAAAGGCATCGGTTGGAAAATGAGGAAAGATCAACAGGAGATTCCAAGGCATGAATCAAGGGATCTTCACTTAGCTCAGGAAAGTGAGCCTTTCCAATGCTGTCAGGACAGCTGGGCTTCAGATGTGTGCCTAGAGACATCTGCAACCAACCAGAGCCTTCTGGGCCATTAACCAACTGGCTGGTGTATGGTCCAGTCCTTCTCCCCAGCCACAAGCACAGGCAGCCACAGAAGAGCCATTCTTCTTGAAGCACAGGTGTCCTATAGGGTAGAGAGTTGCTATGGGAGAACGATTGAGAGCTATCTGGTGGGGGCAGATTGTAATTGTACAGGCATGTGATGAGCATTTTAATGGGAGGAGACATTCGGGTGGGACTGTGACTTACACAGGAAAGGTAAAAACATCCAGGTTGGAGAGGTGCTGCTCATGACTCTGCAATGATAGCGAAGGAGATGGTTTTCTTTCCCATGGTTGCCACTGTAATGACACCCTCAGGTTGGGGTGACAGCAGCAGACATTTGTTTGCTCACAGTTTGGAATCTAGATATCCAGATTAGGGTTCCAGGAGCACCTGCTTCTTGGTGGCCTCTCTCCCTGGTTTGCTGATACCCACTGCTTCTTGTGTGTTCACACAACCAGCCTCATTGACACACATCTCTATGTCCAAACTTCCTCATGTAATACTACCATTCAGATTAGGTTAGGGCCACCTTCAGGGCCCCATTTCAACCAGTTTACCACTTCTAAAGCCATCTGAATACAAGTCATGCTCTAAGGTGTTAGGGGTTAGCACTTCATCCTATGTATCTGGGGAGTGGGCATGATTCAGTATGTAACAGCCTGAGAGATCTTTGCCTGAACCTATTGAGTGTCACTACTAGCCGGAAATGGTTCTAAGCACTTTCCATGTGTTCCTCCACCTCTTCTTCACAATTATAAATGTACACAATTACAGGGTATATAGATCACTACCCTCTTTTCTGAAATTGGTAAACTTAAGTTGGTGTAATTACGTGGCTGTAATGAACCCTACACTGCAGCCCATGACCTTGGACTGCTGTAATTTGATGTCTTGGGACATAAGAGAGAAGCTTACCATTGTGTCTTGATCGGTGGGTTTCTGGAAAGCACAAGGTTTCCTTTCTCCATCTCTGGTCTCCTAAAAAAATCTCCCCTGAGTTAGGTAAAGGATTCACATGTGTGAGAGGACCCCATAACGTTTCGTAGAGGGCTTTTCCTGATAACCCACCAAAACACCCACCTAAGAGTCTTCTCCACTTTGGCAGGTGGAGTCATCAAAGCTTAGATCGGTGAGCTGCACCAGCATATCTTGGAGAGCTCCTTGGCCAAGTGCCAAGCATTTCCTCTCAACCAGGCACCTGCTGTAGACCTTCTCGTTTAATCTATCATCAACTCTGAAAATGTTTTTCTGTTGCCTGTTTACAGATAAAGAAACTGAAATGGACCTGGCCACAGCTCTGAGCCCCACCCTTGACTGTGTGGCCCTCAGCAAGCCACTCATCCTCCATGGATGGCTCTCTCTGGCCTCAGCTAGGAAATAAATGTTCATTCTCACCCACAGCTGGGCAAGTCACTATGGCTAGGAATGGTAGATTCTGCTTAAATCTGGAAAGTATAGTGCTGAGTGACTAGCATTGCAGCCCAGCATCCCAGATCAGAGTGCTAGCTCAAGTTCCAGCTATTTCACTTCCAATGCAGCTTCCTGTTAATGGACTTGAGAGGCAGTGGAAGATGGCCTAAGTGCCTCAGACTCTGCCACCCATGGGGGAGACCCAGAATGAGTTCCTGGCTTCGACTTGGCCCAGCCCTGGCTATTGAGGCCATTTGGAGAGTATACCAGCAAGTGAAAGATTCTCTCTCTGTCTACCCCACTGCATCACCCTGCTTTTCAAATAAAAAAATCATTGTTGTAAAAGTTGATCATTCAAGCCCCACCCTAAATTACTACACCCCATATCACCCAACCATTGTTCTTGAGTGCCCCATACCATCCACAGCCTCTTTTCTGGGGATCCCAAACTACAGATCTAATAAAAAATGAACTTCCATGTGTCTCCCATTATTGCTCCACTCTCCAGATTCCCTATCCCCCTAGGGTAGCTATAAAGACCCCACTAAGTTTGCATAAGGTTAAACCCTCCCCTGGGAGTGTGAGTGAATCAGTCATTGGTACAGTTTGGACTTCCGGGCAAACTGTCTCAGGGCAGCCCTGGACCACCCTGCCAGCTCAAAATGAGAGTGCCACTTGCTTGGGTGAGGAGTGACATAGGTTTTCTGTCTCTTCTTGGGCTCTGCAGGAGGCTCTGTCGGTGGTGAGTGACGACCAGTCCCTCTTCGACTCAACGTACGGAGCAGCAGCCCATCTCTCCAAGGCCGACATGACCGCCTCGGGGAGTCCTGACTATGGGCAACCCCACAAAATCAACCCCCTCCCGCCGCAGCAGGAGTGGATCAACCAGCCAGTGAGGGTCAACGTCAAGCGGGAGTATGACCACATGAATGGTTCCAGGTAAGCCCACCAGGTCCCCATGTGGGGGCTGGAGGATAGCTTGGGCTCTTTGGCTCTCCAGGTGTCCAAATCAGGCATGTCCATGCTAAGCAGCTGCTGGCACCTGAGCAGGTGGGGGTCTGATGTTGACCCAGGGAATCTGCCTCAGTCCCTAGGGTACTAGAACAGGCCGGGGCACTCCTACCTATTCTTTTGGACCTTGTAGTAACCTTGGCCCAAACTCAAGCACAGTATTTCTTGGGGATGAGTTAGCAGTCAGGACACTTACCCCAAGGTTATATAATCCCTGAAGGAGTCTCAGTAGGGTAGAGAGAACCCAACCAGTGATAGTAAAAGTGGTAACCTAGGGACAAAGAGGAGTACAGCGAGGGGCTCCCTATCTCAGCATGGAGACACCCCATGCACCTGGAGGAGGAATGGAAACAGCTCAGAGGCAAGGCAGAGCCCACCTTGGAGGAAGGCAGCCTGCAGCTACCCCTCTCAGAACCAACTTACGATTCTGAAGCAAGGATAGAATGCTCACTTTTCCCCAGGCTGCTTACGTTAGGTGTTGCCAGAAAAGGACCAGGGAGGTCCTCTAGAACTCAGATGGTCCTCACTGGTGACAGTGCTCCTTGAAGAAAGCATAAACCTCATGTCTACATGATCATCCCCAGTGGATCAGATAGTCTGCAGGGCCTAAGGCACAGGGAGATCGCAGTGAACAGGAAGAGAAGGCCCTGAGTGACAAGCTAAGAGAACACACCATTCATTTTCCAGGCAGACACCGATTCCAACCACAGATGTGCCATGAAACCCCCTCGGGGCTGTGATTGGAGACCAGTGAGCTGGCAGCTTTCATGCCCATGGGAGTGGGAGAGTCAGCAAGATCAGTTTAGAAGTGAGGGCAGTATCCAAGACAAGAACGAATGAAGTCCTGAACTAGGGTGATGGAAATTTTGAAAGTTGGTTACATAGGATGGATCATGTGAGAAGAGATTGCCAGCAGCACTTAGGTGAATTAATACTGACAGGGAGGTGTAGATGAGAGGAAAGAATCAGAGATGACAGAAGCCTGGGTGTTTGGTACAGGGTTAGTGCTGCTGGCAACTGCTGGAACACAGAGACAAGAGGCGATGTCGGCAATGTGGTTGAGATTCCTGGTGAGCCACCCGCAGGACACCAGATAAAAATGTCTGGAAGGCTTTGGAAAATGAAGCTCTGGTTATCTTTGGGGGCTGCGAGTTAGGTGTGGGCATCCTTTCTAAGGAGTGTTAGCTGGGTAGGGAAGGATCCAAGTCCAGAGAATGGGGAAGGGGGAGGGAGAGATCTCCAGAGCAGCCAGTCTCTGACCTGCTTGTGGGAACTCCCAGCCCTACCACGTTTCAATCCCACTAACCAAAACCAGCCACTGGGATCTCAGCCACCTTCCCAGATTCTAGGATTTCAGGAAGGCTTAGAGGTTCCAAGCCCAGAGTCCCTCTGATGAGTGTCTCATGATAAAACGACGCTGTTGTGCCTCATGGCTGCAGGACATGGTTGGTGCAATCTTTCTCCAGACTGTCTTACTCTTCCTGCCTCTCTCCTAGGGAGCAGGCAGGGTGACTGTTATTTCATAGAAAGGCAAGTTTGGCTTTGAGAGTTACACGCCTTCTCAGAGGAGGCAAACCTAGTGCCAGCAACCAGTCTAACCAGTCTTCCTAATTCCTGGCCCTATAGGCATGTCATTCATTAGGGTTCAGCCCCCTGACCTTATGCCATGCTTGTATACCATGCTTCCAACACCCAGAGGGCAAGGTAGTCATTCCCCAATGTCTCCATACTGACCTGCCCATAAGGGGCTGTCATGCCCAATAGGAGCTCCTGGTACCTGCTGCAACCCCAGGCTCTGCCACTGGAGAATCTTTGTTCAGAACAGCATAAATCCCACCGTTGCCTCCAAGCCATCAGCAGCCCTCTGTGATGGTTGCAGCAGCCTCCTCCCATCCTTTCCTCTTCCCGTCTCCCTGAAGTTTGTTGTGCAGACAGCAAACAGCCAGTGATTCTTTCAAGATAGGGGGTCCTTGCTCAAGGCCCTCTTGTGTCTTACAACAAAAGCAAAGTTCTTAGAATGTTCCCACCCTTTCCCACAGCCTCCCTTCTTGCTCTCCAGCTCTCTGAACTCTCCACACAAGACTGTAGCTGTTCCTTGGTCCCCAAGCACTCACCCACCCAGGTTCTTTCTTTCTGGAACTTTCCCTGGTCTATCCATCCATACAGGTTCCATCGCTATGAGTTTCGGAGCCCTGCCTGAATGTCACTTCTCTCTGACCATGGGATCTAAAGCAGCTCCCTGCTGTCATGCTTTTTCCAGTCTCCAATTGCTCTCTCTAGTTCTGTCTCCTCCATCAGTAAAGTCTGGTCAGTGCCAATCTGAATAGATGCTCAATAAAGAGCTATTAAATACCTATACAAAAGCCTGGTTGCTAAAATTCTAAGGAGGAAATTGCAAGTATATGTAAAGCATTCCTCATTCAAAATGCTTGGGAGACCACAAATATTTATTTTTCCCAGATTTTGGAATATTCAAACATAGCTAATAAGATATCTTGGCAATGGAATACAATGTAAACACAGATTTCATTTACGTTGCATATGCACCTTATATGTGTATCCTGAAAGTAATTTTGTGGAGTATTTGTAGTGTATCTGGATTTGGACTGCAACTCATCACAATGGGTTAAGTGGACATTGTCCACTTGTAGCATCACGGTATTGAACCATTTGTGGATTTGGGAGCATTTGTGAGTTCAGACTTTGAGATTATGGATGCTAAACCGGACACATGTGAATAAGGAGAGAGATGCAGGTTCGCTGATGTAGTCCATTGTGGGCACTGAGTGAGACTGCATTTATCAGCTCACCTGCTATCAGAGCACCACTCTTGGCACCATGGAATCAATTGTTGCAGCCCACTTGCCAAATCTGGTCTCACTGGAGCCAACTAAGGAGGGCTGTGTGACTCTCCATGTGCAGACAAGGTATTTGCCTGGCTTTGGTTGCACAAAGAAGCCTTCACTTTTGACTTGCCTGTTTTGACCCAGACCACCAGCAAGTGACAAAGTAGGCTCAAAAAGACCAATTTGCTATGAGGAAAACAAAGACGATTTCAGGGAGCCTCGAGCCAAGCAGGTTAGGCACATCCTTCACTTGTACCTAATAAATATTCTCCAAGTGATCATTTGTATGCTGCATGGGTAGGGAGCATGCAGCCGTGATTTTTAGAAATCTGTCTTCAGTTAAGGTGAAATCATGTCAGATCCTTTCTTTAATGATGGAAAAGGGAATGATGTGATTAAACAGATGCCAATGCTCTTCAACCCTCTCATGCTGAATACTCCAGATAGTAACCCTGCTAAGGATTGTTGATAATGGCGCTTTGTTGCTCCATTACTTTGCTACTCCCATGTGATTTGATCATTTGGGTTGCAGGTGACCGAGTCAACATGGAACATAGGTGGGGTCATTGCAGTGGTTCCTAGTCTCAGATGTGACAACCAAAGTGGAGCCTACAACTTGAGTCTGTAGGCTTCGGGACTTTTCCTGTGCCTTCCCATGCTAGAAGCACCAGGCATGGCTGCCGAGCACTGGGAATGCAAGAGCTCTTCAAGGAAAATAGGAACCAAAGTACAAGTGATTAGCCTTGCAGTGGAGGCGCTGCACCCCATTTCATAGTGTCTGGGTTTCACTCTTGACTCCTATTTCTGTCACCAACTTCCTGTTAGTGTAGATCCAGGGAAGCAACAGTGACAGCTTAGGTAATTGGGTCCAACCGTTGAAAAGGATACCTGGGTTGGGTTGCCAGCTCCTGACTTTGGCTAGACCCAACAGCAGCCATTGCAGACAATTGGGGACTGAACTAGTGGGCAAGAACTTACTCTGCCTGTCACTCCATCTATGTTTTTTCTCTTTCATTCTTCCCCCCTCCCTATCTCTTTGTCTCTATGCCTCTGAGATAATTAAAATGTAAAAAAATTGCAAATAATCACTGGATTTAGAAAACGATGTGGAAAAACTATAAAATACTTGATTATTTTATTGAAATGATAATCTCTGGATTATATTCATATATTTTAATATTAAAATTCATTTCAGATTTTTTTAATTCAAAAATATTGTGGGGCCAGTACTGTGGTATAGCAGATTAATACACCTATGTTGCCAGAATCCCATATGGACTGCTCGATTTCCATTCCAGCTCCCTGCTAATGCATCTGATAAAATATTGGAGACTGGTCCAGATGCTTTGGTCCCAGCAGCAAAGTAGAAGACCCAGGAAAACTCCTGGTTCTCGGCTCTGTCCTGGCCCAGCCCTGGCTGATACAACCATATAGGAGTAAACCAATAGGTGGAAACACAGACACTCTCTCTGTCTCTATGCCTTTCAAACAAATAAGATAAATCTTTGAGAAAAGAGAAAGTGGGAACATACTTGCAAAAATGAAACAAAACAGTGTGACATGATCTGTGTGGCTACCATTCTACTTCAGTGGGATAACACTGGGCCGGAGTGCTTTGGCTGACCCTGGGCTCCTATCTGTTCACATACATTTTTTAGTTACTGCCTGCTTATGGAAACCCATAGATGCTGTGTCTGATAGGAAGAGGGTATTCCATGTGTGCCTGGTGCTACCATGTTCTCTTGCTTTTCATCAGGCCCTTTGAATCCAGGTTAAGTGCTCAAGTGAGGCAGCCAGGGGGTGGGGGGGAGCCTAAAGGACACGGAGAAGATCTGGGCTTCCTGTGTCATGGGACACTTGTGCTCTCCTCTTGACACCTTCCAGCCATGGTTGAAGCTGCTGGCCGGGGTTGTCTTTGAAGTCGCGTGGCCCATAGGCTCTGGGTTGGATATGTAGACGTCAGCATATTAATCCATGCTGTGGTCTGCAAAGACCTCTTGGCTGCATCCTATCTAACCATGGGGATTGGGGAAAACATCCCAGGAAAGAAAGAATATGAGTTTAAGGGATGGAATCCAATGGAGAACTGTGCAGCTGGGGTTGAGAAACTGAGTTTAATGTTAACCTGCCTCCATGTTCCTCGAACTAGTCAGCTGCATCTGGGTGCGGGGGGCACCCCGAGACCTGTGCTGCACACTCAGCAAGATAGGCCTCACACACCCTTTCTCCTGTGCCTCTGCAAAGCACCTTCCAAAACCCCTGTGTCCTGAGCCTGACAATCAAAGACATACCACACATACCCTGAGAGAGAAGCACTACTCAGGATTCTGGAAAAGTTATCAGCATCTAACTGTGTGTGGACATGAAACTAGCTCTAGGTTCACAGTGATGGCTTTGTCATGGGCCGCATTCCTAGTCTTGGATTTGTTTTATTTTGAGTAGAATTCTTTGTCTTGAATTTGCTTTATAATAATAGCATTGCCTTTTTAAAAACTGAAGCCAGAGGAAAAAAAAAAGTCACATCTATGCCTGGACCTTACAAAAATCTTAAAGACCATTCATATGGTTTAATTCATACAAAATACGCATGCAACGTGAAAGACACACTTGACGGGTTCTCCTGCAGTACTCTGCTCATTATTCCCGCAGGCCGCGTGTTGGCTGAGTGTGTCCTGGGAGTACAGTCCTCTTGAGTTGAATGGGAAGGTAGAGAAAGCAATTGCTTTAGTGTAAACGGGCAATCTGTGGGAGAAGTCTGGTTTCTCCTTTCTTTCAAACACTAGCAGTCTTTTCAAAGCATTTTTGAGTAAACATACACAAATTGAATCAGAGGCCTAAAGAGCTTGCATCCAGTGGCAACAAGAAAGGACAAGGCCTGGTCAGCATTGCTGGGGTCCTGGTGTTCTGGTGTCTGCAGATAGAGATGTTCTGGGTTCTTAACTCTGGGAGCCACCACCTCCTCCCTGCTCCATTGTGGCAGCTCTGGGCCCTCCTGTCACCTGTCCCAGGGCTGTCAGCTGCCTGTGGGCCCCAGCCCCATGCTAGCTATAAGTGCAGGACTCAATACAAATTAGCAGCAGCGTTGTGGGCCAGCTGAATGGCAAACCTCGCCCCCCTGTGAGCTGGCCCTCCCTCCCTCCCTCCCTCTTGTTTCCATTGAGCCCTCTTCACAGGCACCAGCTGCCTCATTAGAGAGCAGCCTGCATGCCCGGCTTCACCTGTACCCACCCTTAGCAGTAGCTGTGGAGCCCTGTGGCCGTGTGTGCAAGGCTCGTGCCGTCTGGCGGACGCACAGAGCCCTCAAGCTCAGAGGACGGAGGGCAGGCTGGCAGGTGAGCAGGGGAGAGGGATGGCTTCCTTTTTTGTCTCTTTGAGCAGATGGAGGAGGGCTGGCCTTGGGCCAGGGTGGGGGTCTAGCAAGCAAGGCGAACCCCTTTGCAGGTCGTTGCATAGAGCTCTGGGATCCGGGACAGTGCCTTGCTTCAGAGAATGCCAGGCAGGTGGGAAGTCGGGAAACTCAGCTTCCAGCTGGAGAACAGGAGTGGATGCAGGAACAGAGAAGGGCAAGGAGAGTCAGTAAGCTGCAGATTCACAAACAAGGAACTTGCACTTACTGGACAGTTCCAACAGCTGCCCTGACTCCTCTCTACACCTCCTGGGCAGTGCTTCTAGCCTGTCTCTTAACCAGGCCATGCGCCCGACAGATTTTACCAAATCTTTCATGTTTTGCAAGTTTATTTTCCCCTCTTCTGGCATCGGGATCCAGTCCTGCCATGTGTACCTACCTCACAGAGCCATAAACCACGAAAGGTCATTTCATTTCCCTGACTTTTCTGAATGGCAGAAAGTTAGTTTTAAGCTAAGAAATCTCCTGGGAGATGATGATGTGGAAAAGGATTTTTCAAAAATTATCTTTCTGAGGTTCGTAAAGAAGCCTCCCCACCCTGCCCCCCGGCCCTGTGCCCATGGACTCACTCTGGGCACCTCCATGGGACAGGAGTGCTGTGTCCCCTGCACCACCTCCCACCCGTGTCCCCAGCCAATGAAACCCCACTCCCTTGGCAGCCAGCCAATTTAATCCTCCAAATTTCTGCAGTACTCGGGCTGCTTTACAACTGACAGGGGTGCTGGGAAAGAGAGCCAGACTGTGGTGGAAGTGTGTGTATGTGGTAAAGTGTGTGTGCACATAAAGGCATGTGTGTGAGGTAGCATTATGTGTATGTGTGACATGGGCAGGCCTGTGGTCAAGTGTGTGAATACGTGCATTGTGTATATGTGGTCAAATGTGAATGCTTTTTGTGTGTGAGTCTATGTGCACATATGCCTGTATAGGGTAGAAAGGGAGTGTTCATGCGTGTTATCTGTGTATATGTAGGTGCGTGTATGAACATGTATGCTCACTGTGTGTGATTAGGTGTATTTGAATGTGTATATTGTGTGTGATGGGTTTGGCAGGTGTGAATCATCTATAAATATATATATGAGATGGAGTGAATGTTTATGCACACACATGCATTATATGTGAACGCATGTAGTGGTATGTATATGCGTGTACATGTGCCAGTGCCCGTGGTTGAGGTGTATATATGAATGCATGTATACGCATGTCATGGAGTATCTGCATGTGTGCATTGTATGTGTTTATGTGGTGGAATGGTGGATGTGCATGTGTGTCTGTGGTGAGATACGTGTGTTGCATGTGTCAGGATGTACGGTAGTGTGTGTCTGCATGTGGTAGAATGTATATGTGCATGTGGGTCTGTGGTGAAGTATGTGTGTGTGTCTATATGGTACAGTTTGTGTATGTACCTGTATGTCTGTGGTGGAGTGTATATATACATGTCTATATGTCATGGAGTGTGTGTGTGTGTGCGCATGTAGAAGTATGTGCACCATGCAGTCAGCCGTAGGGTGGGAGGGGAGACCCAGACAACTGGGGCCAAGGCGCTGCTCAGACGCAGGCTCACGGTCCGCCTGGAGCCGCTTCATCTCAGGCCAAGTCCTTCAACGGCAGAAGCCAAAGGGCCCAGCGCTGGTGAAAAGCCCTGATGTGCTACTGCCTCCCCTCCGCCTGCCACGGGGACATTAAACCTTCAGCAATCTGGGACTCTGACGGCTGGTTCTTGGTTCTCTGCCTGGAAAAACAGTAGGCGAATAGTAAAACCTTAAATTCTAACATGTGTAAGTTATACATCTTATTTTCATTTTCAGCCCATGTTCCCCTCTGTAAGACATCAGGAAAAAATTACCGTCTGACTTCTAATATCTCAGTGGAGCATTTATCTCCCAGCTATGATAAGTGATCTTCAATATTTTTTTTCCTTTCAGATTAAGAAACAAATTCATTTAATTTTCTTTATTGAGTGTGTTCAGGCCTCCCCACCCGGCCTGAGTCTGGAAGCCCAGGGCTGGTCTCCCTCCTCCTGGTGGGTGGTAGCTCTCGACTGCCTCTGCCTACGGCACAGGGTGGGTCCCTCTCAGGCACAGCCCTGCCGTCTGGGGCCTTGCGGCGGCCGTCCATGCCCACGGCAGAGCGATTGTGGAACGTCTGGAAAGGCTCTGTGGCCTGGGTTGGGAGGCTGCAATCTGAACCTTATCTGACCTGGGTCTGAAGGCTGGGATTGGAGCTCTTGAGGGAACTGGATGTCTCCCAGGCTGCCAGAACCGAGGCTTCCTGCTCTGGATAACTGTGGCTACAGCCTCTGCTGGGCCCCTGCTCTCATTGGTTCTGCTGCTGCTGCTACTGCTAGAGGGGCTGAGTGGGAGCAGGCCAGGATACAAAGGTGTGTCCCTCCCACCCGCCAGCTTTGGGGTGCCCTGTGGCCACAGGTGGGTGTCAATGCAGGTCTCCAGACAGGTGTGTTATCCCCTCTGCAAAAAAAAAAAAAAAAAAAAAAAAAAAAAATGTTGCTGCTGAATTGAGCTGAATGAACCGCTTTCTTCCTTGTGAATTTCTGTGTTGGTTCCTTGTGTGCTTGGTAGCCAGAACTGACAGTGGCTGCATGCCACATTGTCACAGCCATGTGGGCATTCCTGGATTCCCGGTCTCCTTGGCATGTTTGTGGTGACAGGGAAACTTGGTCCTGAAGCCCTCTTAGTCCTGCTTGCTCCATCATTAGCTGTGTACAGCCTAGCCAGACACCACCTCAGCTTGGTTTCCTTAACTGTGAAAGGGAGATAAGAAATCTTGGCAGGCTCATGCTGGAGGGTGATTGGGAAATTCAGCTGTAACAGTGTGTATGGGAAATGCGCTACAATGATTTAAGTGCAACGCAAATAACATCCATCGTTCACTCTGTGTATGGTAAGACCATCTCATAGCCCAGCACAGGCAGGGCACTGACATGCTACTGCCCAGTGTGACATGTGCCATAGCCAAGGCTGATGCTGAGTGGCTCTGAGATGGTGAAAAAGACATATCTAGGTACAGGGAGTGCCAGGCAAGGTGGGAATTGAAGGGAAGCTGTGGTGCCAGCTGGTGAGGCTTGGACTTGAGTCTGAGGGCACTGAGGAGCTGCAAATGCTTTTAGGTGCCACAAGGATAGGGCCAGGCTGGGCTCTGAAGTAGGGCATCCTTATGTGGTTATTCTACCACATGGGGCTGGGAAGTGGCTCATCCCGCATCTGAGCTGCTGGGGCCTTAGCTCAGAAGCCCGGGGCCACCTGTCCCATCCGTGATGACTTTCTGGGCCCTGTCTCCTCTGGCTCTAGGGAATCACCAGTGGACTGCAGCGTGAGCAAATGCAGCAAGCTGGTGGGTGGAAGCGAGGCCAACCCCATGAACTACAACAACTACATGGATGAGAAGAACGGCCCCCCTCCTCCCAACATGACCACCAACGAGAGAAGAGTCATCGTTCCCGCAGGTACCTCAGGGACCAGCTGCGGGAATCTTCCTTCCCTTACTCTCTTAGAGGGAAGCATGAGCCTGTCCCCTGACGATGAAGGAAACATTTACCTGCTCCTACTTCTCCATAGCCTATGGAAATGGAAAATCCAGAAATCTGCACAGCCTACCTCCTCCCTAGCTGCCCTCCAAGACACAGCCACCAAGGGTCGCCCTGAATTGCTAATTCCCAAAGTCCCACCTGAAACAGATCACACCTCAGAGTCTGCATCAGCAGCCTGGTCCCTTGGGAGGCAGCAGAGCAGGCCAGGCCACCGGCCACAGCCCAGAAGGAGTCCTTTGGCTCCCCAGCGTGGCTGAGCTTGCCTGTAAGGAGGAGGGTGGCCACTGAGGCCTGTCCTTCCCTTTAGGCATGGACTTCCTGGCACCAACTGGGTTCCACCTTTCCAAAATTACAGCCAGCTTTTCAGTTTCAAAATAGAAATAACTATATTTAACACATGGAGTGCCGTCCCATGTGTCCCACGAGTTATGTCATTATGTAAAAATAGCCTCTTTTTCCTAGGTATTGGTGCTTTTGGTTACAGAAAATACAATCATCGTCTCAATCCCTGGATCTGTCATCCAGGCACTCTGCCTGGGCCAGCACTGGCAAGCTTAGCCGTCCAGGCATAGCATGGGGTAGACATGGCCATGTGTGGAGTCGGTGCCAGGGAGAAGGAGCAAGACAGTGAAAGGGCAAGGATTAAAACTGATCTTGGCTAAAATGATACAAACCCCTTGCACCTGTAAAGATGCAAGTGCAGCTGTGTCTGGAGGCAAATAGGTAGACCTCTCTTTGAGAAGGTGCCAGGGAATCTGTTGGTCTGAAGGTTTGGCTGTGCCATGCCTTGTGTTGCTTTGTAGGAAGCAGTGTCTCACCAGCTCCTGGAACTATGGTGGCATCCATGGACTTTGGGCCAATTTCAATGTGACCAGGGACAGCAGGTGTGGGCAAGAGCGAAGCAGGAGAGGAGAGCTTGGGGAAAGGGTGGTGTTTCTTTGCCTGAGAGGATTTAAACTCTGCTTGGGAAGCATCACTGTGTCCCCTCTCCCACAAGCTTGTTTGCTAACAAAGGAGGAGGAGGAGGTGCTCCCATTGATAGAGGCCTCTCCCAGCTGCCTGGCACCATGAAACCTGCACAGGCTACCTCACAATCCCAGCTCCTTTAGGAGACCAGCTGGCAAAGACCAGCCCAAAGAAAGTAGACAACAACCCCACCAGTAAGCAAACCTTGTGGGAGCCTCTCTCTGCTCTCCCCAGAGCAGAACTGAACCTCACCAGGCTTAAATGGTCTCAAAATCATCTGCTCTAGTCAGAGAGCTATCAGCGTAGAAAGAAAACTCTGAGGAACGGACATGCTAGAGGATCCAGGAGTACTTCTGAAGTAACTGTTGGTACCATCTCATTTTGGTGGTCATTTTGGGAAAGGGACATGGAGAGAGGACAGAAGTGGCCAGATTGATTGGTGGACCTTCCAACTCTTTATGGGTGTTGAAATGCTTTCAGAAGGACTAGCAAAATGCCTGACCCTAATGAGCTGACTAAACTATAACCAAGATAAGGCAAATAGCGTAAATTCGTACAAGCAGTCTTCAAAGTACTGTGCACAGTAAGTTCACGGGCGATGGGTTAACTTCATGATCTTGCTGGCTAAATCTCAACACATTCTCCTGCAACATTCTGACTTTCCCAGGCCAGGCTCCTGGACACAAGGAGAAGGCTCAAATGAGCCTGTCCACAAATCAAGGCCATAAAACATTAGTGGAACATCCGATTGAATTTATGATGGGATTTTAAGACAAGCATAAACCAGCGCCCTAGTTAATCACCCACCCCACATTCGGATTTGAAGAAACTAGAACTAAATCATCCAGGAAATACATTTGGAAGAGTTTAGCATGATCCGGAGTGCAAGATTTATAACTCATTGTGCAGTAGAGGGAGAGAAATAATATTGTGATACAGCCCAAAGCAAAAGAGGAAATAATAAAATAAATAAAATATATAGTGTAAAATTGAATTTGAGGTCGTGGATACTCAAAGTGAAGAATTAGGAGGAGAGGATGAAATAATATGCTGCATAATCCAATCCTCCCCCAGGACATTTTTCTTGAAAATTGTGAAATGGTGCAAAATTATTACCATTTACCAATGGCCCATGCCTAATTGCTTCTGGAGAATAAAAGAGTCAAACAAAACAGGGAATTTATCTGCAACAGAGACAGGCATGCATACTTGCACAATGACGTGTTGGAGAAGCTCTGGTTTGGGGCCCAAGAACAGGGAATGTCACAGGTAAGTTAAGACCAGAAGGGGCCTGCCTCTTGAAGCGAATCCCCAGAGGACTTCTGTTGGAATCCCAGCCAGGGTGCTCAGTAGCAGTGGGCCTCCCAAGACTCTACTATCCCTCTGTAAAATGGGGATGATTAAACCCCCTTTGCAGGATTTCCTTGGTAAGTGTAGAGGAGTCATGAAGAGTAGCTGGCACAAAGCAAGCCCGCCACAGTGTGAGCTGTCATTGCCCAAGGCAAGAGCCTGGGACCTTGGATCCTAAACAGCCCCTCCACCTTGAGCACCATTTCAGCATCTGCCTCTTTGCATGGCTTGATGCTGGACACCTGGCTGTGTATCCAAGCAGCTGTCCTCCAGGTTCTCACCTGTAAAACTCTTAGGCCTCCCAATCTGGTTCCTGGTTGAAGAAACTCTGTAGGACAAAAGCTAGGAGTTGACTGGAAGACATGTCTGCAAAATAAACTTGCTACATAAAGCAGACTCTGTAGAAGCTGGAGGCCGAGACCTTGAATGATCACCAGGGAATCCATGGCTTAGTGTGTGCCTTTCTCCCTCACGGTCTTGTGGAGATTGGGATCTCTCAAGGATCACTGGGCTGTGATGATCTGGGGTCCTGCCCATCCTAAGTGGTATGACCTGAGTGCCTCCTATGGCATCCATAGGAATGTGTGACTGGCTCTGAGCATTCACCTGCCAATCACACTCACACACACTCACACACTCACACACACACACACACACACACACACACACACACACACACACCCTAGGGTCACTAATATTCCCTGGACTGTGGATCTGTTGTCTCACCTTGACGCCACGATTGCTCAGGCAAAGGTCTTAGCTGCTACCCCTGAAAAACTTTACAGTGAGGAAGCTAAGAAGCTCCTCAATGTTGCGGAGTCAAATAGATCCTCTATGGAGACCAGCTAGAAGGGAACCAACTCTGAGAAAGGAGAGAGGGAGAGAACAGAGAAAAGGGCAAGAGAGAAAAGGGAATGAAACAAAATGAGGAAGGGGAGAGAGGGAATGGGAAAAAGAAAGACGAGGGATGGAGGTGAGAGAAGAGATAGTGGGGAAGGGGAGAGAATGTGAGAGGTGGGGGACAGAAACAGAGAGAATAAGAAGACAGAGAGGCAGGAAGAGAGCGACAGAGGAAAGGGATGGAGAGGTGGTGAAAGAGAGAAGCGGGACAAAAAGACAGAGACCCAGAGCCTGGGGAGAGGGGCTTCCCAGGCCACCCTTGTTAACCAGCCTTTCTTCCTGCAGACCCCACACTGTGGACGCAGGAGCATGTGCGGCAGTGGCTGGAGTGGGCAATAAAGGAATACGGCTTGATGGAGATCGACACGTCCTTTTTTCAGAACATGGACGGCAAGGAGCTATGCAAAATGAACAAGGAGGACTTTCTCCGCGCCACCTCCGTCTACAACACGGAAGTGCTGTTGTCACACCTCAGTTACCTCAGGGAAAGTAAGTGTAGCCCTGGGCCGTGAGGCAGGTGGGCAGCAGAATTCCAGACACAGGCCTGGAGTGGTGAAAGAGGGATGAAGAAAAATGGGGATCTGTAATCTGAGGGGTGGGCGTGTTCTGCCAGAGACCAGTGATGCTCTTCCTTTGAGAATTCCTTTCTAGAACCTTCTGCCACCAGAAGGTGTTTTTCTAAATAACAATCTAAATTTCTTGCAGGAATCTTTGAGTTCATGGATTTGAGATTTAAAGTCTTGGAAGTTTACCAAAAAATATCACAAAAAAAAAAATTGGAATGCAAAGATGTGTTTATTTAGATGCAACAAATTTTGAAACCCATATAGTTTCATATGACATGTATTTTCCATGAATCTTATTTTTTATTTATTGGAAAAGTATATATAGAGAGAGAGAAAGAAGGAGAGAGCAACCTCCCATCTGCTTCTTGCCCTGTGCCTATAACAGTCGAGGCTGGGCCAAGCCAAAACAAGAACCAAGAACAAAGGACAGGGCTCAATTCCAATTTTCCACCTGGAATTGCTTGAGCCATCACCACTGCCTCTAGGGTGGACATTGGCAGGAAGCTAGAAGATGGAGCAGAGCTGGGACTTGAACCCAAGCACCAATATGGGACGAAGGCACCTCAAGCAGCGTCTTAGTTGTTGTACCAAATGCCTGCCCTGATTTTCCATGAATTTTTTGTAAATATCCTTTATGTACATAGATTTCAAAAAAAAATTTTTTACACCAAGATCAATGTATCTTCTCATCCCACTTCCCTGTGAATTTAGTAATGTCATGTTAACTTCCTCTTGTCTTTGAGGTTCTCTGGGCACTCCACAGCAGTGCCACCAGCACCCTTTGCTAAGCAGGGACTCTCTGATGCTGCAGTGGTGACAGGGTCTGGTGGAAGTTTTCTCCTGGTACAGCTGGGGAAATGGACTCATCTTTACAAAGGGTGTACTCAAGAGAGAGAGAGAGAAAAAAGACAGTTTTGCTGTATTCTCTAACATAAAGTTCGGTTCCTAGCACCAAGAGCTCATCCATTTGGTGTCAATTTCATTTGATACAGAATGTTCCAAAAAAGCTCATGTTTTAGAACAGCAAGTTAAGGCGTTACTTGCAATGCCTGCCTTCCATACGGGAGTGCCAACTCAAGAGCAAGCTGCCTTGCTTCCCATTCAGCTTTTTGCTAAGGAACCTGTGAAGGCAGCAGATGATGGCCCAAATCCTTGGGTCCCTGCCACCCATGTGGGTGATGAAGATGAAGGTCCTAGCTCCAGGTTTCAGCCTGGCCAAGATCTGGCTGTCTTGGCCTTTTGGAGAGTGAACCAGTAGATTGGGGATCTCTCTCTTTCTTCTTAATCTGCTTTTCAAAATAAATTAATAAATGTTTAAAAGGAAGGAAGGAAGCAAGGGAAGGAGAGAAGAAGGGAGGTAAATGTCACAATGCAGAGGATGGAGATTGTTGAGGAGCTCAAGCTTAGCTCAACAGACATCCAAGCCGAGTGGCACATGGGTATGCCCAAGAATTAATGACTGGTGCTGTGGCCTGGGACAAAGGCACCAGGGACAGTGTGCACAGCCGCACAGAAGACAGATGAGGGCTCTATCAGATGAGGGCTTTCTGTCAGCTGCATCCCAAGATGGCTGGGCAGTCTCTGGATACTGTATCGGCTACAAACACCAAGGCTTGCTGGGGTCAAGCTTTGGAAAAGTGTTTGAAGATTTTAAGTCCCTTTAGAGCTGCGATCTTGGACAGCTCCTTGGGGACCCAGGGTTCTCCTGGCTTCTCATTGGCTCTCCATTGCTCCGTGGGTCTTTAACTGAGCGTCTTTATAATCCAGGGCTCCTGTGGTAGGGTTCTCCAGGGCCCAGAATAGGAGGTCACACATACTAACCGAATGCTACCCCTGGGGCTCCAGGCTCTCTGCTCACCCCTCTGAAGTGGCTGCTAATCTGTGGATATGAAAGGATGACACAGTGTGTGTCAGCACCATGCTACAACATGAGACCAGCCCAAAAAATAAGGCATTCAACAAAGAGGGTAACTTTCCACCAGATTTTCTGAGCTTGGGATAATTCACCATTTCTAACCATCTGAAGCTCTGAGCCTTGAAGAATTTGTAAACAACAACAACAACAACAAAACAAAACAAAAACACAAAATAAAGTCTGTTGAGCAGAGTCCTGCAATAATCGAGGTAGAGTAGGGGTGGAAGTGAGCGTGCAGAGGTTGGGTGAGGGAAGGAGAGACCAGCAAAATGAAACAGGAATCACTTCTGCCTTTTCTACTTCTCCTCAAGTCACGTGCAGGGGAGGACTGAAGGGCCCCTCAGCTTTTTGCCTGCTTGATGGGACAAGAGGTGACAGGAGTGGTGTGGAGAACATATGCTATGTGGGCAAAGGGCCCAAGAATTGAGGGTTCTGAGGAAGAGGCCCTAGTTGGCAGGATGTTCAAGTGCATTCTAACTCCAGGTGGGGAAAGCCCATTCAGGCCATGTGACCACAGGCCCTACTTTCTGGCTGCCCCATCAACAACCCAAGTCCCTGCTAGGACTTCCTGTTAGCAAGAATTCAAGCCACAGACACTGAGGTGAGACCAAGATCTGCCACTCAGAAGGCCCAGGAGAGGGAGACTTTTCGGTCACTGGTAACCTCAGGAGACCTTTCGTCTCCAGTGGCACCTGGCTTGCCTAAGTTCATTTTCACCAGTGGAGTAAGGAATTACACCTCAGAGAGATAGAAGTAAGCACAGTTAAGCATATGTTTGTGGGAATGCCTTCCAAGACAGAAAGGGCCAGTAGGAAGAACATGGAAACCTGTCTTCCTGGTTTGGCACCTTTACCACTAAGGTACCAAGGGCATTGGCTGGTGACATGGACGTGACACTCATGATTGGCATTTGTAATTGACATCTGAGAGTTGTGTTAATTACAAGCTAAAGTGTAGAGTGGACAGTCTTAAGCTGGGCCCAACAGAGGAAAGAGGCCCTGGGTCCCCTTCCCCCCATGCGGGTTTCTTGGCCCCTCCTCAGTCATGTGTGTCTAATCATCTGCCTGACTTTCTTCTACTGGAGTATAGGGAACAAAGGACAAAGCAGTGAGCAGGTGGGGAGGGAGAGGGGGGAGAGGCTGATATTTGTGGGTGGCAAGATATAAGGTGGATGGCTTTTTTTTTCCCTGAGAATGTTGATGGTCATTAAGGAAGATGCCACCAAAGGCATTAGAATATGAAGTTTCTAGAAAGAGGCTGATTTGCAAATCTCCAGAGTAGAGAGAAGGCAAATCCCAGCACACACACACACACACACACACACACACACACACACACACACACACACACAGAAGGCAATTGCAAATGTAGGATGAAGCCCCAGAAGCAGGGACACAATGGGTAAAGAGCAGGGTGCTGCAAGATGGGACTTGGTTCTGCTGCAAAATTGAGTCTACTGCCAAACCCAGAGATGTGTTCATGATACCACATTGCATAAAAAGACTCACGCAGTAAAGTGGTCTGAGTGTTGATAGGTATACATGTGAAAGCAAAAATTCAGATAGTTGAACAAAGTTTTAAAAAGCGACATGCCCCAACATAATTTCATGATAATCTTTTGAAAGACCTGGACTTAAATTGATTCAATGTCAAGAAAAACGGTTTTGATTCCCATTCCTTTGTCATGAATCCTGACCTTGGAGGTGCATTTCTGGGCCCCTCCGATGCTGGGTTATAGTTGATTGCATGCATAATCACAGGAAGGCATGGGTACTGACTCTTGGTCCCAAGGTCATTGGGGACTACCTGGTGCTGAGCAGCTCATCTTGGGCTCCTTTGCTGATTTCCCAAACTGACTTCCAGTGGATGCTTTGTGCTGAAATGCAAGGTCGGTGCTTGGGAAAGAGGATGAAGTGACCGAGTCAGGAATAGAGGAAGGGTGCTGAGTCCTTGTGCTTTGTTACCTTGTCATTTAGCTGGGGCGAGCAGGAGTGGAGTTCCCCACTTTGGGAAGAGGTGGAAGGAGAACAGCTGAGATTCTCAACATAGCTGGAGACCTGTGTGGGGCAAAGCCAGTACAGGAGAATCAAGGACAAGAGCCCAGGGCTTAAGTCAGACGTGTCAAAGATTTGGTGCTTCTCTCATCTGGTATTTCTGGATGTTAGCTGAAGACGAGGCATTTTGTAGGATAAGGAGATCTAGTATCAGACCTTTCACAAAAAGACATTGACCATATTTTCTTGTTATCTGAGAAGAAGCTAAACTTTGAACTGTTATATGCCAAATTTTGAACTTACAAAATGTGTTGTCCACGGTGGAAGGGAAACAGCCCCCTGCAACCATTCTGAGAGTCGGGAAGCCTTGGAGATACTTGGCCTGCCTAGAGTGGCTTGCTCTTCCTGCCCGGGCATGCCAGCTGCCCAGAGTGAACAGCCATGTGAGCATCACCCACTCTTGTCATTCCAGGACGAGGTGTGCTGGTACCCACAATATGTGGGGCCATTCTGGTCTGGAGAGCCCAAGGGCTTGGACAGGTATCTGACCAGATGCCATTCACTTTACATAGACAGGATGCCCCCCTGTGGCCAGCATGTGGACAACTTTTTATAATCCCTATTTTAAAGCTAAGGCAAAGACAGGTGTTTGGACTGGCAGTTAAGATGGTAGAATCCCAGTTCCTGGGTTCAAGTTCAGGGTCCAATTCTCAGTTTCAGCTTCTGCTAATGTAGACCTTGGGAAACCAGCACATACTAGTCCAAGCGTTTACATCCCTGCCAACCAAGTAGGAGACTTGTGTTGAGTGACCAGCCTGGCAGATTCTTGCCTGTTTTGGATAATTGGGAGAATGAACCTGCAAGTAGAAGTTCTATCTTTCTCTCTGCTTCTCAAGCAATTATTTTAAATATAAAAATTAAACCAGGGTGGGCATGTGCAATAGCAATTAAGATGCCAATTAGGACACTTACATCCTATACCAGGGTATCTGCATTCAACTCCCAGCTTTGTTC